AAGAAAGGAGGAGGAGGAGGAGGAGGAGGAGGAGGAAGAGGAGGAGGGAGGAGAAAATAAGAAAGGACGAGGAGGGAGGAGAAAATAAGAAAGGACGAGGAGGAGGAGGAGAAAATAAGAAAGGAGGAGGAGGAGGACGAGGAGTAGGAAGAGGAGGATGAAGAGGACGAAGGGTACGAAGGGGCAGACAAGGCAAAGAAAGGAGGAGCTGCAGGAGGAGAAGGAGGAGGAGGAGGAGGGAGGGGGAAGGGGGAAGATGGGGATAAAAAAATGGAGGGACAGGAAAGCAGGTAATTTCTTCCTTTGTGGTATGTTGTCTGCATGTCTGTGATGGTGGAGATGGCTGCTGAGGCATCAGCAAAACGATAATGCTCTCACTTGGACCGCCGTTGCACGAGATACTTCCTTGCATTCATTTGTCCCCACAATACCCTCCACCATGTTTACTGAGCAAAGACAGCACTCACTACAAGGACCCTCTTATTTGAAGAAAACAAACAAAAAAAAAAAAAGCTGTGGCGTGCGCTGCATACCTGAATGTAGAGGAGGACGACTACAGCCTGCTGAACGGAATCATAGCTGTCCAGCTTGGCAAGCATCCCACGAACCGTCCACGGGGGGCAGAGCGGCATGGCGTTTGCATGGGGTAGGGGGGGGTAGCCGATTTTGAGAGAAGTTTCAGAGAAGTCTCAGGGAAGGATCATACAGTTCGTCTGCGACCAGAAACAATAGCACACATATACCCTGTAGAATAAGATCGAGAAAAGATAGTCATAAAAAATTTATATAAAAAAAAAAAAAAGATCGAGAACGATCAATAGGACAAAGACGAGAGTTTTCCAACAAAAAAAAAAAAAAAAAAAAGAGGAGAGTTTTCAGCAGCCTGTCATCTCTATGCCAAATAATTAACCATAACAACTATAAAAGAAGGGATAATTTGCAAAATACCCCCATAAGTCGAGATATATGCCAAAATCAAAATGCCCCTAAAAAATGTGAATAGAGC